TAAACTTCGGCTATTTTCTTGTCGCCGATATTGAACGTCGACTTATTACTTGTGCCGTAGCAGTGACATTCCAACAATTCTTATGTTGGACGGATTGACCAGTCAATAATGAAATTGGTAGACCGATGCAAAAAAAATACTTTGTTGGACTTTTTACTTGTAATGAATATAGACATATATATATATGGGTATAACAATATTAGGTGTTTCTCACTGAAATATTCTAACACGTTTTAGAGCAATACATTTATTTTTCATCAGTTTTATTTTTATTTTTTCAAAAAGGAATGAACATTTGTTGTTTGTGAGTCAAATTTAATTTTGATGCAGATTCTGAATGAATGTTGTACTATGAAGTCGCAATTCAGTAATTCAATGCGTTACATTTTGTATATTTTGACAAATAGCACATTGAATGGCAATGTATCATTTTGATGACAATGTAGCATTCTGAACAATTAGAAAACAGATATTTATGTTGGAAACACTGTGTTTCTTCTTCTTAAGACCTGGATATTTACCTGCACGTGTGTGAGTCTTTATCGTGCTTTTTATATAATTTTATAATGCATTCTCCTGTTTTAGTTCTTCCTGTAGATTGTAAAGACCTCCGTGATAATGGTTACACTAATTCCGGTGTGGACGAAATTTATCCCTTTGGGACCATTATCAATCCTGTCAGGGTTTACTGCGATATGGAGACCTTAGACGGAGGATGGACGGTATGTATTTTTATTTATAAACCTTCAAAATTAGGATAAATTATGTATATAGAGGATATAGAGGTTATATCTAATATGTGCTTTTATGTTTACCTTATCCAACGCGCAAATGTAGTCATTCCAAATATCTTGATAAAACAAATATTAAAAAAAAAACTGTTCTTTTCATCGCATACAATCTTGTTTTAATGACAATGTTTAGACAGCCCCAATGAAATACCCTTGGGTGATTGATTTATTTGAAATCATACATGCAATGCAATGAATTGTTAATTCCAAACAGTAGCCTTGTGCAAAACATTACCTGGTTTTAATTGCCTCATTCAAGTGGTTACATAAATAGCATGTATGGGATTAATATAGAATCTCCTTTGATTTATGGTTGGATATGATTTTTATTCATCGAGTTGTATGTTTTTTTTATCCCCGAGCCTTGATGGGGGAATAAAAAAACAGAACAAGTTGAAAAAAATCAGATCCAATCACAAATAATGGGAGATTTTTTTTTCTCATGTTTTATACATCACCAACAATGTTCTGCACATGTTTTTGTATATGAATCCACACTTTACTTCATCACCTTCACGCAAAAAGCATTTTGACGTCACATCAGTGGTACATGAAAAAAAATATGCAATGAATAATATCCACGGGATAAAGGGATAAATATGTAATAAACTGAAAGATCTTTGTGACTAAAAAAAAAAACACTATAAGACAGTAATGATTTTGTTTTAACAAACTATCTGTTATATTGACACATGTAACAACTAAATGCATTTTATTCAAAGGCGATCCAAAAGAGAGTCAATGGATCCCTTACCTTTAAGAGGAACTGGACGGAATATAAGAATGGTTTCGGTGCCCCGGAACAGGATCTCTGGATTGGTAAATATTAAATTGATTAAAATGTTATCTCTGTCTGCTTCAAAGCTTAGCAAATAATATGTTAAGTAAAATATCAAACTTCATAATCCCATTTTAAGACTGGGTACTCTGCTTTTGGCGATATTTATCTCCAATGAATTATTTACCATTATGTGTTATTAATTTCATTACAAATGGAAAGGAAAGTAAAATGGAGGAGAGAAAATTCACTTAAGTGACAAACACGATTTCTCTTCAATTCTGATAAAAATTAACGAATCTTTACATTAAAAAACTTGAAATAAAACTTTAAAAAGTTTTCTAGTATAATTTATTTGTTTTGACGGTAATATTATTAAACAAATAGTTATCGTATCGCAATGATTTCGAATCTACCTCAAAACAGGAAATGACGTAATCCATCAGCTAACAGATGAAAATACATCTCTCTTTGTTTCCATCACGCTCCTGAATGGTACAAATCTGTATGAGTTATACGACAGAGTCTCTGTTTCCAATGAAGCAGAGAAGTATCAGCTCTTTCTTGGGGAACCTGCTACAGGAACCTTAGGTACGTAACAAGTAACATGGATATTTCATAAAATAAGTGAGAGTGAGAGAAAGTGATTAAGCAAAGTATGAAAACGGGAAAAAAAGAAAAGACAGAAAGATGAAAGGGGGATTTAATTTGTTAAAAGAAATGTAACAAGTCAAACACATGGTCATTCCCATTTCATTTCCAAAGCTATTTACAATATTGGAGAACTTCTCTCGAAATGATTTTACTGATGAATGTAATATTGTAATTACTGATGAATGTAATATTGTAATTACTGATGAATGTAATATTGTATTTTCTGATGAATGTAATATTGTAATTCCTGATGAATGTACTATTGTATTTCCTGATGAATGTAATAATGTAATTACTGATGAATGTAATATTGTAAATACTGATGAATGTAATATTTTAATTACTGATGAATGTAATATTGTTTTTATAGGTGACAGCATGCTAAACTCAATTGATCCTGCAATCGGTGCTCTGTCTGGAATGTACTTTACCACATCAGACAGAGACAATGACAAGAGTACTGGATATAACTGTGCTCCTGTTTTTAAAGGGGGTTGGTGGTTTAACAGATGCCATCGAGCCTTTCTCAACGGGCCCTGGTCCTCGAGAGCCTGAGAGCTACCCTGGGCTCCTGCCGTGGAGTCCGGATTATCTGTGAGGGAGACTATTATGATGTTAAAACTTCAATAGAGGAAATACTTTTTTTCTGTATACAAATTCAATTTTGTTAATTTCTTGCAGTATAAATTGCTTTTTTAAAGATATTTCTTTGGATATCGATATTTTAGTTTATATACTTTATAATCATCACGGAATAAACATAATTATCTCCTATAGCTTGTACTTGGATAAAATCATATTCAATAAATAGCATAAGATTCCTTTTCATCTTCTGTTTTAAACATGTCTTTCACATTTCTTTACTGTTTTATTTATGAATCAAATTTATTTGGCTTCATAACTCTTACATAAAAACTATTGTGACGTCATTACTCCTTATAGAACGATATTATCTTATAACTGATATCCAAGAATAAACATGCGAGATTTTTTTTTTTTTTTTTTTTTTTTTGTCTCTGAGAGAACTTTAATTCTTTGTTTAAATACTAGTAGGCCAGTTCAGGACGTTTTCGTGAAGGATTTAAAGAAAAACCAAAATGCTAATAAAAATATTCTGAAAGGAGAAATAAAATCGTATCTATAAAAGTTTTATCTGTTAAATTTAAGTTTAAACGATTTTTCTTTCAAATTACATATGAATAGTGTTCAAAGTTGTTTATTTAGGAGTTTTGACTGTTTAGACATTTTTTAAAGATTTGAATTGTTGTTTATTTTATTTTATTTTATTTTTAAATTTTGCTTATTCAACTCTGCATACGAAATATTAGTGCTGTATATATATTTGAAGACTAGAAACTTTGTTTTTAATTCAAGTACTGTCACAAGAAGATACCTGGGCGGATATGTTAAACGAAGTTTGACTTATTTATATGATTGAATAACTAATCTCTAAATGGCTGGGATCCAACATGGTAGAACAATACTACATGTACTTTATGTTTACCTGCATGTGACCTTCCAGATGAAAATAAGGATTTGTTTTCTACAATGGACTGTCAAATAATGACCTTGCGTAGAGAATAGTGATCCAAACTCCCCTAAATAAATAACAGAAAATCTTTTCTACATATTAACTTTACATTTTAATTAACAAAATAATATTATACAACATAATAAACTGGTTTGGTGTGTGGTCGTCCGTGTCCCTAGAATGTCTACTACGTCTATGGTTTTGTTCCACACGGTGTTTAGGCTACACTGCAGTCTCTTGCCGCTAATGAGGCTCAGACACCCCTCTCCAGTGCCGAGAAAGGTTTACACTTCCCCCTCTCCAGTGCCGAGGAGGTTACACGTCCGTCTTGCGTTCAAGACTATGAGATGTGACTGGTACCGGCCGCCATCTCTACACTACTATACAGGAATGAGACCTGTTAAATATCATACACAGAATAATATAGACATACAACTTACTCCGTGAGTACAATATGTACAACGCAATAAATGCTTTACTATACAATAGTTATTACAGAACGTAGAACCCACAAATAAAGACACAAACAATCCACCGTACAATTAAGACTCAAACATTTTCGAGTAACTATAAATAACAGAACTTAAAAATATCAAATAGAATAGCTTAAAGTTGCATATTTTAAAAATTCCGTATCTGGGTGTTTTGAGATGTTTACAACTTTATAAAATATTAAAAACAAACACAAATAAGGCTTACCTCAGAGAAGCAGGACCATACAACTAAATTCTAAACAAGTAAAACCCTCAGTGGTCTGCCATGTGTATAAGATAAATCAAACAGATCTTGAGAAGTTTTGAAAACGTCCTTCTCCCAGGACTGCCGTGTCCAAACTGAAGCACGGGCTTACAAATATTTTAAAGGTCCGGTGATTTGAGGTATAAAACAGGGTAACATAAACCCGGTGAAAAATGGAGGCTCCCCACAGGTAAATATAAATTGCTTGCGTGTTCGAATAGGAACATGTAGATTTTAATGTGACAACTACCTCCCATTTTCCAAAAGTACGCAGTACTTTAAAACACATAAAAATCTAAAAATGAGAAAACAAACCTGAAACTTTACAAATGACAAACTATTTACATGAATTTACAAACGACTCAGGTAATCTGCCCCTACATTCTCTTTTCCCTTAATGGCTTGGACTCTGAATCGATATGGCTGGAGACTGAGTGCCCAGCGCATCAATCTAGGATTGGTGACCTTTGACTGGTTTAGATACACAAGAGGACTATGATCAGTCTCTAGAACAAACTCTTGACCGTATAAATACTTTTGAAATTTCTGAATGGCCCCAAACAATAGCCAAACATTCTTTCTCTACTGTTGCGTACGCACTTTCACACTCTTTCAACTTCCTACTCGCGTATGCTACTGGTAACTTTTGATCTTCTACTTTCTGAAACAAGACAGCTCCCAAACCTCTATCAGATGCATCAGTCTGAAGTATAAAAGGCTCCTTTATGTTTGGTAATTTCAGAATAGGAGAATGAGTTAGTGACGACTTCAAAGACTGAAATGCAATTTCATGACATTTTTCCCACACAAGTTTGGTTGGGCACCCTTTCCTAGTCAAATCAGTTAATGGCAATGCAATACATGCAAAGTTTGGAACAAACTTACGATAGAATCCTATTAACCCAAGGAACGATCGTAGTTGTTTTTTAGTTTCTGGTCTTGGTGCATCTTGTATAGCCTTGACCTTGTCCAACATTGGTCTCAATTGTTCATTGCCAATCACATGACCTAGACAATTCAAACTGGAATAGGCCAATGAGCACTTACTTGGTTTAGCAGTTAGACCTGCACTACGTAGACGCTGAAAAAGTTCGTCAAGTACTTTGAGATGATGTTCAAATGTCTCTGTGAAAATAATTATGTCGTCAATAAAATTGTCAACATTTTCCATGTCACTCAAAACCTTCCGCATCAATCGGGAAAAAGTAGCTGGTGCTGTAACTAAACCAAAGGGCATAACGCAAAATTGAAATAACCCTTTACTTGTTCTAAAGGCTGTCTTTGGTTTAGATGCCTCTGTCAGTTTTATTTGCCAATAACCCGTTGATAAGTCAATTTTTGAGAAATATTTGTATCCTGCAAATTTTGCAAACATTTCGTCTGCGTCTGGTATTGGCTCCGCATCAAAAATTGTTTGTCTGTTTAGTAGTCGAAAGTCAATACAAAATCGATTGGTACCATCTTTCTTTGGAACAATAACTATTGGTGAACAAAAGGGAGACTCAGATGGTTCAATGATATTTAATTTCAACATATCACTCACCTCTTTGTTGACTGTTTCTTCCAAAGAAAAGGGGACTGAACGTGTTTTGACATGTATTGGCTTATCACTTACCATGCGGATGTCATGTTCTAAAATATTCGTACTTCCTGGTTGGTCTTGTAGAACGTCACCATACTTGGCTATAGTACTCATCAACTTTTCCCTTTCCTCGGTCGATAGCAAACCATTGATATCCACGTCTGTGCCTTGGTCAGAATCTAGTGCCGGATAGTCATCTAACTGTCCTTCCTGTGTTGTGTCTTCCACACAGTCCACAAATGTAGCATTTATTGAACCAAATACACTTCCATCAGTCACAAAAAGAACATTGTTACATTGTGCTCTTTCAACATATTTCTTGAGTAGATTAATGTGAAAAGTCTTTACTTTTCCATTCATTTTCAACTGATAGTCAACACGGTTTACCTTCTTTAAAACCTCAAAAGGCCCTTTCCATTGGAGAAGCAACTTATTGTTGTCTGTAGGCATTAAAATAAGAGCTTTGTCACCTACCTTTAGAGATCTATTTCTAGCTTTCTTATCGTAGTACTTCTTGTACCTGGTGGCGGATTTTTCAAGGTTTTCTCTGGCAAGCTGGGCCATGGACTGCAATCTCTCTTTCAGATCTAAAACATACTGATAAGTTGTTTTCACGTTTGGATCTTCTATTTCCTTGGTACAAAGTTCTTTCAAAATAGACATGGGACCTCGTACTTGCCTTCCATAGACTAATTCAAAAGGTGAGAACCCCAAGCTTTCCTGCGGTAACTCTCTATAAGCAAAGAGAACTGCATTTATATACTTATCCCAGTCCTTAGGCTTCTCTGCACAAAGTCGTTTAAAGATTTGTTTCAAAGTCCAATTAAAGCGTTCGACTAACCCATTACAGGAGGGATGATAAGGTGTGGTTGTCCACTGCTTCATAGAAATGAGACGACTAACCTCCTTCATAAGAGACGACGTGAATTGAGTACCCATGTCCGTTAACATTTATCTTGGTATACCTACCCTAGAGAAAATTTCCATTTACGCTTCTGCAACTCTTTCTGTCTCTATACTTGGCAAAGCTACGGCTTCTGGATAACGGCTTGAATAATCTACTAGAGTAAGTATGTACCTGTTACCCTTTTCCGTGACTGGAGTTAACGGACCCACTATATCAAGTGCAACTCGTTGGAATGGTACATCAATTAATGGCATACGTTCTAAAGGCACTTTTCTCACCCTACCTTTTTGAAGAGTACGCTGACATATATCACAGGACTGGCAAAACCGTCGGATGTCACTCTGGAGTCCTGGCCAGAAAAACTCTGAGTTAACCCTGGTTATTGTCCGCTGGATACCTAGATGTCCTGCTAATAAAGAATCATGTGCTAACTTCATGACTAATGCGCGAAATTTCTCTGGAACTACAAGCTGAGAAAATACCTTATTGACGCTGTCGTCGTTCGCTACAAACTCTCGATAAAGCAAACCATTCTTTTTATACCATTTTACCTTACCGTTTTTCTTCTGGTGAACAGTATTATGTTCTGCATAATCCCGAATCTTAGTAAGGGTTGGATCCTCCTCTTGTGCAGTCTTGATACAGTGTGGTTCTATTACGTCTGTGATTATGTTGGGTACCTTCAGAGGTGGATAAGGCTTCTCTCTGTTCCTTTTCTGTTGTCTCGTTTCTACTGCGTTGACCTGCCAATTCTCGTCTGCTTTGTCTGGAAGTCTTGCATCTGGAACATTTCCTATTATCAAATCATACACTGGATTTTCCATACACCATACCTTGTGATAACCACACAAATAGGGAGTATCGATGAACACTTCTGCTACAGGAACTGTAATTTTTGAGCCGTCAGCTAAGACACACACCTGTTGCTTACTGTCTACAAGGTCTTTCTCACTTACCTTGGATTTCCGTACAACAATTCCACTGCATCCAGTATCCCTCAAAACAGTCACAGGATTTCCGTTGATGTAACCCGCAGAGATAGGCATGGAAAAATTTACAGACTTCTGACAAGCTGAAGTAAGAGTAGTGGGCGACATGTTCACCATCGAATCTATGATAGAATCTGAAGGTAAAGTACTCACAAAACAGACTGGTTTTTCATTTATTTGTGCAGTAGGTGATTCTCCTTCGGTTCTTACTTCAGATACATTACCAACAACCGGTTTGGCTTTACATTCTGAAGCAATATGCCCTACTCTGTGACACTTAAAGCATCTTCTATCTGACTTGGGTACAAACTTACCTGTATTTGTTGTCTTCATATGCACATTGTCTCTGTTCTTAGCACTGTATGTTTTCTTGACTGTTTCTTGTTTCTTCTGCAATAAACCCTTACCTTTATCTACTGCCTGGACTGAGCTCAGGTTTCTAGCATCTTTGTATTGGTCTGCAAGATCTGCCATTTTCTTAAGACTATCTGGAATGCGCTCTTTCAGAAATAAACGTAATTCTTGACTACAAATATGTAAAAATTGGTCACGCAACATAAGATCGTACAAACCCTGAAATGTTTTTGGTGCTTTTGCCATTTCTATCCATCTATCAAAATAGCTACTTAGGCGAACTGAAAATTGTGCAAAAGTTTCCAATTGATCAGGTCGACAAGATCTAAACTTTTTCTTAAATCCGTCATCCGTCAGTTCAAACCGTCTCAGTAGAGCTTTCTTCAAATTCTTATAGTCTAAGGCCTCACTTTTGGGCATTAACGAGTAAACATCTAGAGCTTTACCCCGTAAAAGCGCACTTAAGTTAACAGCCCAATTCTCTTCACCCCATTTTTGTGCTTCTGCATACCTTTCGAATCGGAGAAGGAAACTGTCCATCTCATCATGTTCTTCATTAAATACAGGAAGCTTTGGAGCTTTAGGCGTAACTCGACCTTGACTGTGATCAGATTGCACATCTTTGCTTGTATTTACTACCTGTGATTCATACACTTTCTCAACTTTCATCTGCTCAATCTCATACCAATATCTCTCCTTCTCTAACTCCAATGAAACTTTCTCTTTCTCTGCCTCACAATCTAGTCTTTTCTTTTCTAATTCTCTCTCCGCATTTCTCTCGTCTCTCTGAATAGCTTGTTGTTCTCTAATGAAAGTTGTTAACTCCTCGTCTTTCAACCCTAATGACTCTCCATATTCTTTTAATTGATTTAGTATATCCATTTTCTTATATTGATATGAAAATGAGTCTAATGACAGAAACCTCACATCACACAGGACACGATAGAAATTTACTTTCGGACTTACTATACAATACCCATGGCAAACAATTTGGTTGCTGATATGGTCCAACTTACTGAGACATTGCCGACTTTTAGAAACACCTCTCAGAGGTCTCAAACATCCAGAACCGGACAATTCTTCTACAAAATACGAAAAATGATCACACAACTGAAACAAAATAAAAAATGCACAACATAAACATGTAGGTAACATAAATGTCCAAAATTTGTAACACTGTTATTGGTAGAAATTGAAAACAGAATTGAAAACAAAAAGGGATTTTTTTTTTACAATGATTGGGTATTAGAATGGATCGACTATCACTCTGTTACAGTGTATCCCACTTCTGACACCATTTTGTCAAATAATGACCTTGCGTAGAGAATAGTGATCCAAACTCCCCTAAATAAATAACAGAAAATCTTTTCTACATATTAACTTTACATTTTAATTAACAAAATAATATTATACAACATAATAAACTGGTTTGGTGTGTGGTCGTCCGTGTCCCTAGAATGTCTACTACGTCTATGGTTTTGTTCCACACGGTGTTTAGGCTACACTGCAGTCTCTTGCCGCTAATGAGGCTCAGACACCCCTCTCCAGTGCCGAGAAAGGTTTACACTTCCCCCTCTCCAGTGCCGAGGAGGTTACACGTCCGTCTTGCGTTCAAGACTATGAGATGTGACTGGTACCGGCCGCCATCTCTACACTACTATACAGGAATGAGACCTGTTAAATATCATACACAGAATAATATAGACATACAACTTACTCCGTGAGTACAATATGTACAACGCAATAAATGCTTTACTATACAATAGTTATTACAGAACGTAGAACCCACAAATAAAGACACAAACAATCCACCGTACAATTAAGACTCAAACATTTTCGAGTAACTATAAATAACAGAACTTAAAAATATCAAATAGAATAGCTTAAAGTTGCATATTTTAAAAATTCCGTATCTGGGTGTTTTGAGATGTTTACAACTTTATAAAATATTAAAAACAAACACAAATAAGGCTTACCTCAGAGAAGCAGGACCATACAACTAAATTCTAAACAAGTAAAACCCTCAGTGGTCTGCCATGTGTATAAGATAAATCAAACAGATCTTGAGAAGTTTTGAAAACGTCCTTCTCCCAGGACTGCCGTGTCCAAACTGAAGCACGGGCTTACAAATATTTTAAAGGTCCGGTGATTTGAGGTATAAAACAGGGTAACATAAACCCGGTGAAAAATGGAGGCTCCCCACAGGTAAATATAAATTGCTTGCGTGTTCGAATAGGAACATGTAGATTTTAATGTGACATGGACTAAAAATAGATTTTAAGAATTTCTAAATTGATGCAAAAAAATCTGAAAATTTAATCCGTTCCCTTCGGGTAAATATACATTAAGAAACATATAATTGGGGTGGGGTTAGGGTGAGGGTGACTTGCAGGGTGTGTAACGGTACATATTGTCGTCGGCGACAATATGTTCTGTGAACGTTTGCACATTTTGTCGCATATATAATTAAGTTGAACAATATTAACTAAGGTCGTGAAGAGGGAGAGAGAGATTGAAACAAACACACACAGAGACAGAGAGGCAGACGGAATAATTGATAAATTGTTTGGCAGATAAATAAGTGCAATTGTAAACAATTCGCATTTATTTAGCATTACTCGCAATACTGTAGAGAGAGAGAGAAAGATTTGCTTAGAAAACTGTGTCCAGGACTGGTGTACATCACTATAATATGTCAGGATACTGTAATTCTTGAGGAATCTGATAAAACAGCCTCTTCTTTTTTTTTCTCGATGCATGTAAATATACTTGGAGATTAAATGTTTATTTTTTTTTGTTCAATCGCTATGATAACCTCGAAATTTTTTTCTGCGTTATTCTTATACATGTACCGATATAATTAGTGTTGGGTTGACAGTTTTACCTCACCTGAGTTGAAAGCTAGATCTAGCACAGGTGCATCCCTCCCCATTGATTTTTTCTTTCCTTTTTTATTCTTTTTGTTTGTTTGTTTGCTTTTTTGCATAATTCTGTTTGTTTAACTTTTATATACTCTCCATTTAGTCCACAGGTAAAATTTCATAATTAAATAATTCAACTAACATATACTGTTACACATCTTCACACAAATATGATCTTTTTTTTTTTTTTTTTTTTTTGCTGCTCAAATAAAATTCTAAACACACCCCCTTCCGTTCTGAAAACAGTAGTAGGCCTGTGATCAGCGATGTTTATATGGAAGCATCCTCAGTCCTTTAAGGTCATTGCACTTCATTCAATTTTCGTGAAAGATTCTTAAGATTACACTGTTTCTTTATTTCATACACGGTCTGGCAGTGACAGATACAGCATAACAAAAATTATTTCATTTTTGTTAATATTTGCATGTTTCTATTCATATTCAGGGGCTTAATTACTTCTCTAAATACAAGTACCAATATTAAGATAACTCGTGTTCAAACATTGACGTCATATCGGTACTATGACGCCATATTATATCACTGATTTAGTCTAGTCAGAATATCTGAGTGATTCCTTAACACACCTGCGTCTCTATCATTCGAAAACTAATTTTTCCATTTACATATAAATGCATAGTTCATTTTTTGATATATCTCTGGGTTCTTTTAGCAATTTCAGAGCTTGTTTTATAGAGTTTCCAAGTGCAAAACAAAATTTTATCCATACTCTCTACTTCATGAAGCCCTTCAACGTCATATTTTATATACTTTTTAATGTTGTCTTATTTCTCGAATGTACTTTAATACATTAAAACAAGACAATGACAGAGGCGAATGAGACTGTGCCGACTTTTACAGAGGGGGATGGTGGTAAAGCTCCTGTAATAAAGCCTTCCTCAATGGTTCCTGGTCTCAGACAGACTGGGTCTTTCCCTGGTCTCTGACAGACTGGGTCTTTCCCTGGTCCACTTCGGTTTCTTCTGGGAAAGATGTAATAGAGACGAGGATGATGGTGAAACGTTTCTAAGAACATTTCTTATTTGGATTTGTTATTTTAATGGTGTGTTTTTGATTTAATTATATACACAATCTATAAAGGACAAAAAGTAAAAAAAAAAGTGTATTTTTTTTATGTTTCTAAGAATTATTTTTCAGAAGTTTACGCTTAGGAAATCTTTTTTGTTTACTGTGTTTTTTTCTGTGGAACTTTTTTAAACAATCAAGGAGATCAACCACGTTATCCGTATCAATTTTTGTATTCTTTATATTCTGCGATTTAAAAGAAACGTAGCTTAATGAGAATATTTGTAATTGACCTTGTTTTAGAGTGGTTTTCTCTGCTTGAATATTACTGTAAAATTCAAAATCATTGTGAATTTTCCATTAAAAATACATTCTCCACATGTTGCTTTTGTGTTGTAGATAGACTTGTAAGGAGAAATATATAATTTTTTTTTTTTTTACTTTTAAAAACCACCTATTTGGAGATACAGAACGGGTTTCAAGTAAACAGAGTTACACATGAAATATGGAGATGAAGTATGGAAATAACGAACAGTATTTTAGCTCGAAGTCCATTAAAACAATACAAATCGGGAGCAGAGCAAACACGGACCTCCAAAACAGAAGTGGGAACGGGTGAAATGGAGGAGTGACATCCCCTACCTACCGGTTACACCCGCTTTGTGCCCCTTGTTATGATCGGTAAATAACGGAAAAATCAGTCGACAATTCAGTGATTAATAGCCTAACAAATAGTATGAAAAAATCAATCAGCTTATGACTTAATGATGGATTGTATTTGCTGACAAGATCATTGCATCGACCGTAAATGATGACCTTAAACGAAACTGTTGAAATTCTTGTTTCATCGACTTGTTTGTCAATAATTTACCTTGTTTTAGAAATTATCCATATGTAGACCATTCTAAAACGTCATCGATATATCTAACCGTCGAATTGAATGCTACAACAAGAGATTTCTTTTCATGTGGAAACTTTTGAATAAAGTCTCTTCATATGAATACAAAGTAAAGGTCTGCTTATAAAAAGGTGCAATTGATACTCATGGAAATTCTCACAGGCTGTTGGGAAAATTGATCTCCAAAAATTTCATAGATATTGTCATTCAGACACTCAAGCATTTTTTTAATATCAACTTCGGAGTACTTGTGTGTTAATCAGAATGAATTTTAACAAAATAATTTTGCAAATGACCAATGACAAGGAGAGTAAATGTACAAGTTTCCTTTGAAAAAGCAGCAGTATACGATGTCAAAAAGGCTGGACTTTTGTTCATCGTTGGGAATGGTTGTGTAAAGTGTTGAAAAGTCGTACGTTTTGATGTTATTGGTTTTGGTAAAATTTTGTGATTTCAAATTCTCTTAAAGTTCCTTGGAGATTTCTAGTATCTGATTTACACCACTTCATGAATATATCGTTGCACAGTACTCCTGAAGTGTCTCCTTTGCTGCTGTCAATATTTTAGTGAGAAGAAAAGAAAGATGTTAGGTTGAACATTTAATGGATACCGCTATGTATATTGTTTGATTTTTATATAGTTTAGAAATCCAGCATAGTATAGGTACATTGTAAATGACACTTCGTTTATCAGAAAAATGTTCCTCATTTTACTTTAAAATCACTTATTTCCGTATTTAAATTCTTGAAGTCGCAGTATTGAATTTCAGAATATGTCGCTGCCTTCTGCTGTTTGACCTCTCCATTTAAGAAAGAGAGTAATGGTCAGATATTGCTAAGGTGGATATCTGGAATTCGCAAATATAATCAGGCTAGGTAATGTACAAGTAATATGGATACTTTCCCGATCATGATCGGTCGGCAGGGGATGCTCATTCCTCCATAGCACCTGATCCCACCTCTGATGTTTTTGGAGGTCCGTGTTTGCTCTGCTCTTGCATGATTTGTATTGTTTTAATGGACTACTTTGAGCTTGAATAA